GACTAAGTCTTGCACGTTTCCCCGGAGCTGTTTCTCGTTAGCTGTTTTGTAAACGAGGTCCCGAGTCTTTTGTTCGTGACCTGTTTTTACCAATAGGTAACGATTTCATTTGATCCTTGTTTGAGGGAAGGCTTTCTAATGGGCTCGTAATGCCTCGTAAATGGTTTCAACTATTCGGCCCATTAATTCAGCTAACGGGATAAATTCGGGCCCAACACTCGCCCTTTTAGCTAACATCTGCCGATCCATGAGGAAAATAAATGATCAAATTCAAGAAAGGGTAAGAAGTGAAAGCGAACCTGGAAAATCGAAACCAACTAATCTAGGAGTATACTCGTAAACTTTGAAAACAAAACGAAGGTAAATACATCAAGATTCAATATGGTGACAGTCTCTCAAAGACCTTTGTAGATGGATATGCAGGAACTAACAAAAATACGTCCTAGATACTCTTCAAATTCGCAAAGGTTAAAGACAATATATTTTTACTATACATGGAATCATATTTAATCCAGTATGCAATATTCATATATTCCTTTCAACTCAAACATACCATAACCAATATTTCGAGCTAGAGGGAAAATGACAATGAAAATGTCTCTCTGAACCACGGTTTACCTTTGCGGAAGAGATTTTCTTTGACAAGATCTTGTGTTTTGTTAGGGAGATTGGTGAACTGGAGACTTCGGAATGCAACTGCTCCAACTGGGTGATCTACAGGAAAAAACAGGTAATACTAATCACAAAGCATAACTTGAATGATTTTTCTGGATTTAGTCAGATGGAACTATCATGTAACAAAAAGTATTTTCTTAAATACTATGTGGGGAAGCTAAGCTTTGCAGTGGCATACCGTTGGGCTACTTGATAGAGTAAAGTCGATTTTCACAGACAATTTCCCAGCCTCTTCAGCATAGTCCTACACAAAAATGGAAATGTGCTATTGATAACATAATGGCAAACAGCTTTCACAATCTTAAGGAGAACTGGGACCTTTCAGGTACATATAGACTAACCTTCAATTTAAGATAACAAGACTGAAAGCAAGGAACGGGGTCAACTTTCAGCAACTCATCGATGAACTCCAAGTGTACTTTGTCTGGATCATTGTTGAATTTGCCTTCGACTTTTGAAAGACAGTCGCCAAGAGCTTCAGATCTTTGCTTTGATCAAACTTTTTGCAACATCCCGTACCTGTGTGACATATATAGGAAAGTTTTTTTACAGAATCAACCCAAAGAGATATATAGAAAAGCTTTCCAACAAGATACTCAAAACTCACCCGGTCCATTCCTGATCCACCCCAAAGAAACTGTTCTGCTTCCTTCAAAAGAGTGGCATATTCAACACTGGAAAAGACATCATGGAGAACCTTTGAAGCTCGACGAAGCCAATCTTCAGCTGGTCGTGCCTGACAAACTTGCATTCCCTCCTGCTAGTAAAAAAAAAGACGACAATAATTATAAATTTTAATAAGATTCAAGACCAAAGCATCCAAATATGATATATACTATCGAAATGGTAGGATGAAGAATGGCTATGTTGCCGCTCATATAAATTCCAATAACGAGAACAATAAAAACAAATCCGTCTTGTTATTTGCAAGTATAAAATACCTTTTTGTTAGAAGCACCTGATTGTTTGGTGCCTGAACTCGGCCGTTGTGAACTTTTGGTTTCTTGAGTTTTGCAGTCACCAGACTTTTCAACTTCTTGTGCCATTCCATGCAACTCTGCAAGGGTATAACGATATACCAGGCGCAGTTTTGGAGGTTCACACTCACAAAGGTGCTTCCAGTGCTGTATTCAAAATTATAAAAACTTAAGGAAAATTGAGAAGAAAAAAAAGCTTAAGAAAATTCTGCCTACAGTAACGCACCTTTAGAACCCTCAACAGTTCTATCTATAAAAAAAGGCTAAGCCAAGTTGATCCCTCTCTAAGAAGTTAGATATAAACATTTACCTCCAAGCAAGAAAAAACGGATGGCCTACACTTGCCAATGATAGCAGAAAGATGGAGAAACAGTTGGCAGATGATGCATGTAGTATCCTACAAATACCGTTATAAAGTCTCCACACATCAGAGTATTGCCTTCTGAAAGCTAGCATGATAAAGTGTGCAAGCTTAACATCAAAACCAACAATATCTGATTGCAGAAAGGAAAACCTCTTCGATGCCCACAGAATCAGGGCATTCAGGCAGAAACATAGGAGAAGATCTCAAAATACCACTTTTTGAGAGTTGCTCTCTCCAAGTTTTTTCTTTGCTATATATTCTGAGCAATTCTTTCTTCAAATACATTGACCCTTTGCCATCGCAGCAGTTTCCCTATAAGTAAAAAAAATTAAAACAATCACTGAGGCCGCACAAACATCCACATTTGTTGCTTGATGCTAGCATACACAATTCCACTAGTAACAAATGACATATTACTAGTGGATCATCCCGTGATGCCTCTTTCAATGTAGCTATCTTCAGTACCCACTACTATCCCATTTGATCAAGGGTAGCAATATTTAGTAATTCTAGAAGAAAATCTTGTTTCGTAAATGCAAAAGATATAGACCATTAATCAACTAAAACCAACAAACTCATTGTTTCTTTACCTACCACACAGAGAAGCTCTTCATGAGATATTACTGCAGGTTTACGGTACAGTCGATACAGCTCCGCCCCATAACCACCATAAGGTAGCCAATCGGCGGTGGCAAAGTTGACGGCCTCTGCAAAATTTAAACCTGATAGGACAACACATGACATACTATCTTAAACTGCATAATGGCATTGGTAACCAAACTCCCTAATGTAATTGATGGGAACACTACGCAACTAGTAAAGTGACTATTATAACTTAGATTATAGTTGGCGTACCGAAATTGAATCCAGCATGGAAGGATTTTGGAAACGTGATCACAAAGTTTCCAGGCTCTTAGCAGTGAGAACAAGTACATGAATTATGTTGGAATACTTTTTGAAGGAAGGTTATTATTAATCACAAATAGGTTCCAAACTTGCATTAGAAATGCTAACAACCAAATGAACTATATAGTTGTTTATCAAACCTGTAATACTGTGAAGACTGGAACTTTATGTTCTTGTAAGACAGTCGAACTCAACATAGTAACCAGTTGAAAGAGTAAATCTGGCTGAGCATCAAAGAGATCAGGTAGGGTTTTCCGCATGACCTACAAAAAAATCACCCAGCACAAGCACCTTAACTTTTCTTTCTGAATGTAAGCAAATATTATAGTATACCAGAAGAAATATATTCCAACGAAAAAGAACTTCTATTGGGCTGTGAATAACTAGCCAAAGATTATTACCCTTTGGAGCACACAAAAAAAACTAACCTTTTCGAAAGCACTTGCAGCACTGCCTTGTACACCATAGCAACATTTTGCTTCTCCCCTGAAATGTAGAATCGAAAAGAAGTTTGTAACCGAATCTTTCAAGTTAAAAGACGAAATTATGAGACCTATTATGAATGGAATGTTTCTTTATGAATTAGAACGTTCCAGTTATTGTCAGAAACATTTTCTATGTTAAGATCCCGACACAATAAGGTCTAGAGCAAGGGGTATCTGATTCTTCCACTAACTACAAAATAACTCAATATTCTATATGTTTCAAAAGAATGATGAATTACAGTACAAAAACTACACGTACCAGTGATGATAATTCACAGAGTAAAAACAATGGTCTTCAAAATGCCAACAAAAAGAAGAGAAGAGCATTCCAAGATATAGCCAAGGCACTGTAACACCATTGATGTTATGCCGAATCGCCTGAAGCATAGATCCTTTCAACTTAGGCATGTTATTGAGATTCCAAGGGCTACCACAATATTCATTCCAAACATTTTCCTCAACTGATTCTGGTCTTCTGTCGCCTACTCTAGGAAAACCACTCCCATAAACAGAAGTATCCAAGTCGTTACCATACATAACTTCAACCTCAACCCCTGACCCTTCTACTATTTCCCAAAACTTTTTCTCAATCTGCGTCCTAGACGCTGGCCCTGAACCAAACCACTTCCGTTTGGCACGATCAGCAATGCGCTTGAAATCTTCAAGCAACAAGGATTTGTCGGGAACAAAGCCAAAAGTGTCTTCATCAGTGTTTAAGCAATCAAGGCAATACCAATTCCTAGGTGGGATATGCTTCAATGGTGGTGAGAGACAATATATATGCCAGCCTTTATTACAACTATCACACAATAGCATCACTTCACCATGCTTGTCACTTTTGCATTGCTCATATGCTTGATCAATCTCTTCCTCAATTTCCACCTTGGGTTTTGTTACATCAGCATTTCTTTTCATCAATCTTTTGCAATCCTTTGCAGGATCTGCATTCATCAGGCTGTGATAGTTCTTAAAATCATGCAAATTCTCCTTATACAACTGACACAAAACATGCTTAGCGCACTTGGAGATCTTTTCACTAGAGCTCATAAACTGATAAACTTCACCCCATTTTTTCCCCTTGACAACCTTATCATAACCCCCAAACCTCTTCACCGCATTGAACAGCTTACGGAGATCCAAATCACCTCCTTCAAAGATAACTCTCTTCTTTAGATTCTTACCTAACTGCTCCTCCAAAAACCTATTGAACTCCAACTGAAACGTCTTCGAGTTACAAGAAGCAGGACGACTCTTGCGTCTTTGTCGGAAACCTGACAGATTCCAAATCCAAACCAAAAGGAGGTTTCCAGCTACTGGGAGGAACAATCTTGCAGATCCCATAAACCTCTGCTTCTGCCTTGATCTTGTAAATATACTCTAATGGGTATTTGAATTCATCTTCGGTCGGATAATAAACCGGTCCAGAACGGACATTAACCGATCCTTTGAGTTTCTGATCTAAAACCCTTTTCTCCACTGCCTTGACTCTACCTTTTCCCATTACTAAACACATCCACTAAAACTCATAACCTACAGACAAGTCAAATTGATCACAAACCCTAAATAATTATCCAAGAAACAGTGAGCGTGAATACAATTCTAGGGTTTTAGCAATTTACCTTGAAATAGAGAGAGAGAGCTTCTGAGAGACTAGTCGAGGAGACGAGGATCGAGCAAGTAATCTAACTCTTTTTGCTTTGTGGAGATTTGGGGATTTTAATAAAAATCGAATCTTTATAAAGCTCTCTTTCTTGAATTTCCGAAATTGGGTTTGGATAGTTATGGAAATTACGAAACGGTTGAGAAGGAAGTCAAACGCTTCTCAGTTCGTGTTTATGGGAAGTGAACTCCGTGCCGGGTTGAATTAATAGACTGCATATTGATAGAACATGTTTAACGTGTTGTTTCGTTTACTCGCTAAAGTGGATTGTTGGGCCCTGAACGTTGAAGGCCCAGGCTCGATAATTAAGCTAAACTAGTTTTCCGCCGAAATCATATTATTATAGCATATACTAATTTTTTGACCAAAAAGAAGTAACATAAACATACTAATTTATCGACAAAAAAAAAAAACTAATTTTTTTATGTAATACATAACTAATTATAAACTATAAAAGTTTATACTTGATTTTATAATAATTATTACTAAAATAGAAGTCTTCATGTATTTAATGTGCGATTTTTTTTTAATTTGAACTGTTTTTTTGAAATTTTACTAAATATGTTTTATTAAGACTATTAATATATAAATCTTTGTGACATTTTTAATCATTATATCTCTTGATGGGTTTTCATTTAAATAAATATATATATATATAAAAATAAATATTAAAATAACTCTAACAATCTGTTACAAAAACAATTTTAACAAGAGCTCAATTTTCAATAGATATATGTAAATATTTTTACTAAATTTGTAATTATTATTGACATATTATTATGAGAGAATGGGTTTAAGAGCATCATTATAGGAGGGACTTTTTTTTTAAGTCTTTAACTTATTTTAGTAATATTTTTATGCTAAGAGACAATTGTTAGGAACAATTATTATTATTGGTAAGATTATTGGTAGGACAATTGTGAGTCCTTAACTTTTTAATTGTTATTTATAGATAATTTCATATAAAACATATAATAACATTAATATTAAAAACATAATAAAAAACATACAAGATATTAATTAAAAACATTAACATAGAAACATCATAAATAAAAGCAAGCAAACATCTTCAATTAATAGAAATTTAAACATTATTATTGACCAGATGTCCAAATTTCGCCCATATATTTTCAATCAAATCAGTTTTTAATTGTTCATGGGCTTGTCGATCCTGAACTCCTGTCCGACGTTTAATTGTATTGCCGAGATTTGTAGGCATATCGACGGAATATGTAAGATCCTCACGTGCTCCTTGTTGAAATTCTAAGAGTTCACACTGACTGTATGAATCTCTTTCATCTTCGACAATCATATTATAGAGTATTATACATGCTCTCATAATATTTGTTATTTTGCTTTTATCCCATAAACTAGATGGATTTTTAACAATAGCGAACCTAGCTTCCAGGACTCCAAAAGCACGTTCAACATCTTTTCGGACAGATTCTTGCGTTGTAGCGAATAATGAATGTTTTTGACCATGTGGTAGTCGGATAGATTGAATAAAAGTCGTCCATTTTGGATAAATACCATCTGTGAGGTAGTAACCAAAATGGTACTCCCTTCTGTTGACGTAGAAGTTGACTTCCGGAGCAACATCGGTAATAATGTCTTCAAAAACAGGTGATCGATCAAGAATATTAAGATCGTTCATAGTACTTGGAGCTCCAAAAAACGCGTGCCATATCCAGAAGTCATATGATGCCACCGCCTCTAACACAATTGACGGTTTTCCGGTTCCTCGTGAATACATTCCTTTCTAAGAGGTTGGACAATTCTTCCATCCCCAATGGATACAGTCAGTGCTTCCAACCATCCCGGGAAATCCACGTTCTTCTCCAATAGCGAGTAGTCTTTCAAGATCCTCCTGTGTGGGACGTCTTAGGTATTCATCGCCAAACAATTGGATTATGCCGGTGGTAAACTTGTGCAAACATTTTTGAGCCGTTGTTTCACCCAGTCGTACATATTCATCAACCGTATCAGCCGCACCTCCATACGCCAATTGAGGAATTGCAGCAGTGCATTTTTGTAGTGGTGATAGACCAGGCCGTCCGGTTGCATCTTGTGTAGGTTGAAAATACTCAAATTCTGTAGAAAGACGATGCACAATACGCAAGAACAGTGGCTTATGCATGCGAAACCGACGCCGGAATATATTGGCAGGGTATGTTGGATTTTCAGAAAATAGTCATTTCATAGTGTAGTGTGGCCATCTTCCCGGTTTCTCTCGATAACAACACGTTTTTTTGCGTTCTTTCGGTTTTGAATATCAAAAGAGTTTTGAAAGAAATCTTCAAATGAGTTTTCAAAAGGATCATCTTCATCATTATCTTTATGGTAATGGTAATGGGAAGAATATGCCATGTAAATTGAAAAACGAGTGATGGTTGGAATGTGTATAATAAGAATGATGCTTGGAATATGTATAATGAAAGCAGATGGTCATACTTATAGATTACAAGAGTGTTTGATATTTCTTGTGTTTGGAATTCCCGTGATACTTTATTTTTTTAGCAGAATGCTACTTGTCATAATAGCTTGTTGTCTTCTGAAGAAACAAACAACCTATTATTTGGTACAAGTCTAGCAAGTTACCAAACTCGTATAACATCACTAAAAACTTGTGGAGTACCAAATAACTTAATGATTAATACTAGGAATCCAAACATTAAGTATTCGTGACAAAAATATTACAACACATTAGTAAGAGACATTACAACTCATACTAAAACATGAGAACCATCCCTATTAAAACTAAAACAATAACAAGTAGCGCAACAACCAATTCGACCCTTGATTTCTTCTTATCTAAGTCACACACAATCTTCTCTAACTGAGCCACCCTTTGGTCAGTCTCAACCACCCTTTGCTCAGTCTCAACTGCGGCTTGCTCTGAACATGCTACATAGTCTACCTTTTCAGCAAGCTGGTCGTACTGTGTTTCCAGAGCTCATATCTCCTCTGCAGCAGCCACATCCCACCATTTCCAAATATGGCACTCTCCATCATCTCGATTCTCACATGTAAAATACCTTCTTCCTGGATCACTACAGGTGTATGATGTACCTATGAGAGGTTCACCACCACAGTAACATATCTTCGGGAATCCAAATTGAACCTCGGGTTCAGGAGAGTACTGAATCTGCTGTGCATTATTGTAGAAACTTTCAGCTTGGTCCTCGAGAATAAGTGCTTCATCACCACTGTCCAGTGTGTAGCTAGGATACGCATCTGACTCTGAAGGCTGTGTGTAGCTATAATCTTGTCCCATTTCTTCCTTAACCTGCAAAATTGTCATAATAAAGCTCACAGTCAGTCAATGCAATCTGTTGAAACATTGCAAAGCTTGTTTAGTATGGAATTTAAAATAAAACATTGCAAAGCATTTCATTCAAGCAAACATGAATAACATTCATCATTACATTAATAAAACATAAGTACTTCGACATAGCAGAACATAAACTAGGAATTTAAACTAGGAATTTCAGACATATCAGAACTTAGACTAGCATCATTTTTCAGAAATATTTGGAAAGGAGCTTATTCTTGACCACTTCCTTAGCCTCACTCAGTGGTTCCTGTTTAGAAAGAAGAGTGTCTAGTATGGCAAGCTTTGAGAGCTTCTCCTTCATCTTCAAACCCTCCTTCTTGATATCCCACATTGTCTTATACTGATCAAGAGCCTTCCCTTGAGCCGTATTCTTCCTTGCTTTTGCAGCTTTGACACCTTCAGGGCGGATTTCAGGATCATTAGTTGTTGAAGATTGGGAACCTTCCTCTCCATTACAACTCTTTGAACTCCCACCAGCCTTCGGACTGTTAAGATTAAGCCACTTCTGGTCATACCTGAGCAGGCACCATGTATGCTCAAGACTGAATTTCATCTTATAGTCTGCGTTGAAGATGGCATGAGCCCTCTGGAGCACATCAGTATCGTTCATGCCACTACCATTTTGTCTCTCTGCTGCTGCAATTTCCCCACACCATTTGTTGACAAGGTCATTGATTTTGTGCCACCTCTGCTTATAGTGGATGTGCTCTCTCCTTTCACCACTCTCCATAGCATGTGGACTTGCAGCATAGTATCCTCCTACACGACGCCAGAAGGTACCTGACTTCTGTTCATTGGAGACTATAGCATCCTTGGATGTGTTTAACCAGGCACTGATTAGCACTTCATCATCAACAGGGGTCCATTTCTTTCTCTCCTTACGCTCCACAGGTGGGTCCATTTCTTGCTGGAAGGGGTAGAAGAATAGAAACCGGAGTGGTTTCTTGGTAGAAGGGGTAGAAGAGAGAAAGACTGATGGTGAAGTTGATAGGTTGAAGTATGGTAGTGGTTTAATAGGGAACTTCTTAAAGTAAAATTGTTAAAGACTTAACCATAAAATCATAAAGACCTAACCATAAACTACCTATGTCTAATCAGAACTTATTACACATTACACCACAATAAACATATGAAGTAACCCGTACAAGTGCATTAAATTCAAAGGAGTTTTCGGTTGAGAACATCATTCTCGTTAAGTTTAGTTCACAACTTATTTAGTTACTTTCCATTAAACTAAAACAGGAATAGGTTCCAAACAAAACTACATTAGCATTTCATTTTATAACCAGGGATTGGTTCCAAAGGAACCACAATAGCATTTAATTTTACAAACATGGATTGGAGCTGAATTGCAAGTGATAATACCTTGTAATTTAGACGAACAAGTTGTGCTTCCTAATTATCGCTGGCAAATATGAACCGTAGATCCTCACCTAATACCAGTCTCACCATCAAACAAAAAAGAGGACATGAGTTTCATCAAATAAGTGATGATTATGCAAACAAT